CCCCCCCTCCCCCCCAATGGGAGATTCTATAGTGGTAGCCCGTGTCTACCATTTTGTTTTAATTTATTATTGAGAGCTAGAAGACTTGAGGTGTCTTTCCGTTATTTATTTCGGTAGTTCTGATGTGATTTTTGGGCAATAGGCTATGATTTGTGATTTAGATGCTCTACCGGTGTGGAAGTTCAGCATGTGTTGTGATTTTGTGGTCGTAATCGAATTAGTGGAAGGTTTCGATTGATATGATGCATATTATACTTGCGATTCAGAGATGAGGGTGAGACCCTCGTGGTGTCATGTGTTTTGATGTGTTTGAACCGGGCTGCATGCCGCGGTGGAGTTATATCAGGATGAGATCCTTGTGAATTGTTCATATGTTTTGATTCTCCCTTGTGTAATCAGTTTGTAGTATGGTACTGATAGGGAGTGGTGCCTGCCGGGCTTGTTTGATAGTTCTTTCATGTGTTCCCTTATATATTCAGTCATGTTCGTGTTGTGCTTATTGAGTTTTAGCTTGCGAGGTGTGTGTCCCGGTGGTGTTAGATGTGACTGTTGATTCGGGTGAGTAGTTATGAGGTCTTCATTTTTCTTCCATCGTTGTTGGTTTAGTGGAGGTTTGAAACAGAGTTCTAACGGATATGAGGCTAATTGCTGGCACTGGATTAGATTACGGGCAGCTATGTTGGTCAGAGATGTTGTTATGGGCATATGTGTGATGTGTTACGTCGTGTGGTTGTACCTTGTGGGTGTAGGCATAAGTTGTTGCAGCTGATAGAGGCTGATACCGGGTGTGGATGTAGGAATCGGGTCTTTTGGAGATGATCAGATGGTGAGAATTTCGGTTCTAAGGCTTATTGGTATTGGTGGAAGGGGTAAATTTCAGTTGAGGTGGTGTCGTCGGGCTTATGTGGATTGGGATAACGTGGGGTCACCCGCGGGTGTATGTAAGATGAATACATTCAATGATTTGATGACTTCTCGATGATTCTTGGCATGTTCGAGGACGAACGTTTGTTTAAGAGGGGGAGAATATAACGACCCGACTTGTCATTTTGAGAATTAACATCTCGTTCAGCAGCTTAAGGCCCCGAGCAACTTCGTAATATATATTATGACTTGCGTGTGCGGTGGAGTTTGGTTTTCGGAAGATTCAGAATTAAATTGAAAGAACAATTTTGGTTTTGAAGCTTAAATGAAAATAGTTGACCGGAGTTTGACTTTTGAGCAAACGACTCTGAAATGAAGTTTTGATGATTCCAACAGTTCCGTATGATGATTTCAACAATTTCGTATGATTCCAACAGAAGTGGGCTCGCAAGCGCGATAAATATGTCCGTAGAAGCGGAATTGGACTGATTGTTAAAGGATCGAACTTGGTCATTTTTCTTATTTCATTTTGGAATTTTTGGAGCTCGGTTCTTGAGGGATTTGAGGGTTTCTTCACGATTTCGACTTGGGTAAATATTCTATATCCTAAAGTAACTATATTTCATAAATCCATGGTTATATTCATCGTTTAATTCGAGTTTTAATGGAAGAAATTGGGATTTTTGTAAAACTCTTCAAAAACGGAAATTTAAGATTTGGAGGTCGATTTGTTATCGAAATTTGGTAATTCTTGCATGGTTGGACTCGTTATCGAATGGGTGTTTGGTTTTTCTAATTTTGGTTGGGTTCCGAGGCGCGGGCCTGGTTCGACTTTTTGGAGCGATTTTTCAATTCTTAGCTAAGATCATTATTTCATTATTTAAATTTTTTTCCTATAGTTATATTTATAATACGAAATTATTTTGGCTAGATTCGAGCCGTTCAGAGTTGTAAAATCGAGGGAAGGACCTTCTAATTGATTGATTGAGTGTGATTTTGGGGTAAGTATATTGCTTAACCTTGTGTGGGGGAAACTACCCCTTAGGATTTGAGCCTTTGGTGCTAATTGTGTCATGTGAAGTCCGCGTACGCGAGGTGACGAGTACGTGCTTGGGCTTATTTGTGAAAATTTGACTATTTAGGGCTCTTAGGTTCTTATGTTCATTAGATATGAAGTTTTTTGCTATATTAAATCTCTCATTTACTAAATCACCCTTACGTGTCTTAATTGAAATTAATTGCTCCATATTTTACCCTTATTGCCGATTAAACTCTTATGTGCCTTGACTGAAGTTGTTGCCTCTTTTATTGCTATGCTATCCTTCTCGTAATTGTTTATCCTTGATTGAAGTTATTATTATCTTTTCCATAATCTGGTTATCCTTAATTGAATTTGCCGAATCACTTCCGTAATTGCTCCACCCTAAGTGAAGATTTATTATCCCTTATCATTGTTGACTTACCCTTAATTGGAGTCATTGATTCATGTTCTCCCTCTTATCGTTGAATTGTACTTATGTGGGATCATTGCTACACATTATCCCTTCCTTGTTGAGCTATTTCTATGTTGTACCATTATATCCTGTTGTGTCTTTCCTTATGAGTTCGTTCTTCCGTCTTTTGTTTTTTGTGTTATGGAGTTCCTGAGTTGAATTACTTGTTGTACTCTTGTGTTATTGTCGTTGTTGTTGTGGTATTCAGTGTTGTGTGGCACGAGGTTTCTGCCGTGCGGATATTATTGTGGCACGAGATTTCTGCCGTGCAGATGTTATTGTGGCACGAGGTTTCTGCCGTGCAGATGTTATTGTGGCATGAGGTTTCTGCCGTGCTTTTATTATTATTTGTACGAAATTTCTGCCGTGCCGTTGTGATTCATTTACGATTTGAGACTACGAGGCAGTATCTCGCGGTGATTTTGGGAAAGAATAACTGAAAGAATAAGAGAGAAAAATATTAGACAACATATTTAATACCTTAACGGTAGTGTATACCATAAATATATATTTTGCTATAAAAAGTAAAAAGTAGTTATAGAAAATAATATTTTAAAAGAATTTTTATTTATAATAAATAAGGTATAAACTTTCGCTACGTAAGGTAAAATTTCCTTTAAAAAATCAATTAAAATCCAAGGAACAATACTTCATCCCAAACCATATCCACACTTCATAAGAGCTGTTCCCGTGTGACCCGTCCATTCATCATTTAGAAAGGACACAAATTCTTGATTCACCTATTCTAAGCTTCCACGTGTCCATTTCACCCTTCCTTCTCCTAGCAATTTTATTCATTCGACCAGTTTTAGAGCCCGTTTGGATGTAAGAAATTTTTTATCTTTTTTCGATAAATTTTTAATTTTTTTGAAATTAGACTTTGGTCATAATTTTTTTAATTTTTATTTGAAAATATATTTTAAATTTTTTTGAAAATTTAAAAAACTCTAAAAAATTATTTTTTTAAAATTTTCGCTTAAATCACTCACAAAACTTCAAAAACAACTAAATTTATATTCATCTCCAAACACAACTCTAATTTTCAAATACTATTTTCACTTTGTCACCCTTTTTTTTTTTTTTTTTTAATTTACAATTCTTATGTCCAAACGCCCACTTAATAATATTTCAGTCTCATTCTCTCTCTCCCCTTTTTCTGTTGAATTTTGAGTGCCTTATCAATATAAGATCCATTCATACACCTTTCCATAGTACGATTCTGCAAATATATATCATCTCCTCTTTGTTTCTCCAACAGGTCTGCTATTTTTCTTTTATACAATCTTCCATTATGTTTAATTAAGATCTGTAAGTTTTATAATCTGGTGGTTATGTGGGGGTAATGGGTATGTGCGATCTGATCATATTAGCGTGTAAAAATGGTTAATTTTGTTGAAAGTTGAGGCTTTTGTATGTGGGTCGAATATGATTATCTGAATTACATTTTTTCAATTTGGATATGAACTAAAGTTGAATTGGGTTCTTTTTTTTTT